AAAGTAACCTGAATTCAAATCTTCTCGGTAGCATAAAGGTGGTATAATTAGCTTCAAAAAACCTTTGTTTATCAGCCTTTGTGTCTAAAGAGTCTTTGAAATCACAAAGTTCTGCAAGTGAATCCATTTCACGCTGGCAAATGGATTTGCGAGCAGAAATCGCGCACGATATTAACGCCCTCTCCCATTGTTGCATTCCAAGGTCAGCACACTGCAACAAAAATGAAGTGCAGTTATTATTAAGAAAAAACTAAGAAGTAAGTAACAGGTAAGTTTTTCTGTAAAACCAACTCTGCAAATCATATTTAAAAAAAGCACTTTAAGGGCTAAATTACCTACTATTTCCGCTCCAAATTTCAAAGAATTTAAAAAAAATCACATACGTCAATGAGATCTGAAAGATCATCAGCAAAATATTTGTGTAAAGCAGCATTCGCAGCTCCAACACATAATAAATATTCGTTACGAGCTTTCAGGCATTTAACTTTAACAATTTTGTATTTCTCAAGTCTCTGCAACAAGAATATCATCGAATAAACGTCCAAAAATTGTAGAAAGTTCAAATGCTAGAAAAATGCTGCAGGTATTTTTCTGAACCTCTTCCGCTTGCAAAAAAATCAAATAAATTTTGCAAAGAACAAGTAAAAAAATCTATTTTAAATTTCCTAACCCAACTAAAACATCATGAAGTAAAAAAACAAATTCTCTACTCAATTAGATTCATTGAAAAAACATTTAAATATTACAGTAGTCAGGGTCTGATATGACTGAACAATTAAAATGAGAGAAGCTAAAAAAGCAGCCAAAATAAAATTGATTTTATTCTGCTACCTTCTCCACTAATTTGACTAAAACACGATGCCTTCTGGCTGATCCACGCTTAGAGGGGTTCTCCTCCTCATACTTCGATTTGTTAGCTTCCGCTTGACGATATTTCGACTCAACTGCAGAACACTGGGCAAAACACAACTAAATTTTTGGAAATAAATTAATATAACAGCGATAAGTTTCATAAAACAAGCAAAAATTGAAACTGCTATCATACGGGTCAATAAAACAGTGTCAGAATACAAGAAAACAAATGCAATTTATCTAAATATAATAATATTACAACCCTATCTAAATATCCCGCTAATAAAAAAAACAACCTGATATGTCTTCATAGCAGTGTGTAATTCGTTCAGTACTCTGGTTATCTCGCCGTGTGCAAGAATACCAATTTCTCTGCACTAAAAATTAGTTTTTTATTTTCTGCACTATGAGTCCCCAAACTTTGAAAACTTTTATAGAAAACTCTTAACATCGAATTTTCTCACAATAACTGACCTATTGAAACTTTGACTAAAAAAGTTGCGCTAGTCAAGTAAATCAAAAATTCTAATTCACAATCCCACCTAAATAATATTCAAAAAAAAAAAAAAAACTTAAAAGACCTTTCGCGAAATCCTTAGCAGATCATCCGATCTTCGAGCTATAAGTGTAGTAAAGTGTGAAGAATAGAGTTCAGCAAGAGCTCTCTTTTCACGAGCCTCTTCCTTAGTGGAATCCACAAGTTGTTGCCAAAGTGCACAGCTTGAATGCAAAGGCCATGATTCTCTTCTAAACAACAATGCGATGCATATTGCTCAACAAATAGATGAGTTTTAAAGAATTCCTTTCTGAAACGACTCATATTACACTTACAGATCAAAAACTCGATAACGCTGGTGTTCTCTACAGCTTTATTTTATTGATGCACTTGACACTTACTTGCTTTTCTCATTTTTATGCCTTTGCATCGTACTTTTTGCAAGTTTTTCCAGTTGCCTGCCATACTCGCTATCTATTTCTGCTCTTCGTCGGTAATAGTCACCCAATTCAGAGAGAATTGCAGTCTAAACAAAGATAAAGATATTACCGAGAAAACTAAAGCAATGTTAAAAAACGCTGAAAAAAAAAATTAGTGTAATCTAGAAAAACAGATTTTACATTACCTGAGTTTCAGTCCTTGCTTCCAGACATCGCAGCTGTTCCGCAAGTTGACACCGAATCTCTACAAAATCAGTAATTACCACCAAAAGTTAAACATAATTATTGCGAATAAAAATTTTGCTTCAAAATGGTTTTTTCATATGCCGTTTTTACATACCCTTTTCACTTACCTTCACCACTTTAATTTAAAAACAAAATCAACAAAAACTGAAAAGTAATTGTTACTTTCAAACTGCTGATCCCCCTCAACTTAGCCCTCCAGTTACCGTACTCACTGATGAAGTCTTCGACACGCATATCCAACAAGCAATTTTAATGCAGAGAAAGAAGTGAAAAAATTTGAGGATAAAACAAATATAATAGACACTCGCAGTTAATTTTGTCGCATTTCAAAAGTAATCATACTTTTTAAGTGTGGAAAATATCAAGAACGCATAAACAATCGTTTGTCTTACTAAAAATAAAAAATAATAACAATAATAAAATAATAACTAGATAAAAAAAAGCCATAAGAGCGATGAGAAAAAGAAAACAACAAAAACACGAAGAAAAAAAATAAGAAATAAGAAGAAGAAAGTTAATGTTCAAACGATTAGCACAGGCAAATTTGTAAGAATGTACCCAAAGTCGACTAATCCTGGCTGAATAATCTATTTACAAACACGAAAGAGAAATGTGTTATTTAAATAATGCTTCAAAAAAAACATAAGTAAAGATAGTGTGACTAGAACCATCGAGAAAAGTTTATAACGACGACCCTGACGACAAACACTCCTGCTGTAGTCAATCAATCAGTCAGTAAACAGTAGTTTTCGTAAACATAAGACACAAAAAAATACTTGAAGATCTCTTTCCCAGTATCTAAGCAAATAACAGTATCAAATAAAAGACTTCTGTTAACTAAACAAATTCTTTTTTTATAATTAAAGTTATATAAATGTCAACAATCAAACTGAACAATAGCTAAAAAATTTTTTACAAACTAAATTTGTAACAAAAGAAGGGAAAAGCTTATGTCAAGCCATAAAAATTTAACCTGCATTAAGAATTTGCAACCCTACGATATATGTTAACCACAAAGTGGAGTGAGATGAAAATGCGTATGTAAGAAAACTGATAAAATGCAGAAAATTAACTTAAATGAATGCGCTGCCACAGCCTTTGAAGAAAACAAAATCAAAATACCCTCTTGATTAACTGCGACGATCCCTGTATCATCAAAAATCGTAAACAATAATTTGTGTGCAGCTAAACTGGTCGAATACAAACTAATTATCACACTGGTTACCGTATCTTTAGACAATAAATAAGATTAGAAACTACACTAAAAACATCTTTAAAATACAATAAAAATTATAGAGAAAAAGATTAAAGAAACTCACGATAAATGTCATTGAGCTCTCCATCAGTATTCAAATTTAGTGTTGTACAAAAAATAACTCGAACCATTAAAATTTCCTCTAAACAGTAGGTGAGATTTTGTAGAAATACGGCAGTATATTTCAATAACAGAAACAGTTATTTGTTTCCTTCCAAATAATCTCATACACAGAATGGCAATCGACGATGGATTCCGTGCCGCCGCTTACAGCATCAAAAGCAAGAGGACCATTTTGTTCACAATAAGAACAACAACAACAACAACAACAACAACAGTAACAGCAGCAGCAACAACAACAACGGGCAGTGATCTTTAATAACTAGGTTAAAGGAAGTTCCTACTACAATAAAAAAATCACTTAAACGATGAACAAAAAGTTAATAGGTTTCGGCAGAACTGCGGCAACAAATATACCTATTCAGCTCTGGTAGTAAATGTCCTGTATGTGTAGTTAGTGAGATGTGTTCAGCGAGAATAAGTACAATTTGTCTGACAATCACAAACTCGGCAACATCATTGCTGAAACAAGGCAAAACGGAGCCCTGTTCTTAGCAAAACTAAGCGGCAATAACGGCAACAGAACCAACAACTGGGCGCAGTTTGTGAGCGAATATTTTTCAAAAATATACTTCTTCCACAACGAATAACTAACTCTCCACTGAAACAAAACCCTCGCTAACCGCCACCCTTCTTCCCCTCCCCCTCTATAATTCTTCCCCTTCCTTCACTTCTCAAAGCAGCCAGAAAACTGCAACACCGATTACAACGGCCCAACATTCACATGTTCACACATTCACTCATAAATATTATCTATATGCACACAAACACACAGAAATACACGCTCACAAAAACACACACACACACACCTATTACACATTAGATCACTTCTCACTAAGCGCACTAAAATTAAAACTAATGGCTTGGGCAAAACACTTCTCAATAACGACAAAAACGAAAAAAAAATACTGAAAATGATCATACCGATAAAAGTATCACGAAACTTTACAGACACCTGAAGAATAAAATTATTGACGATACTTCCGTCGATACCATACCATCTACCGCACAATTCTCCTTGACTTAGAGGTAACACTAATTCATTTTCAAAGAGTAAAATTAATTTTGCAGAAAAGCAAAAACTGCTTTAATTTCCTATCACTTTTTCACCGCTTTAAAAGCAAACAAAACTAGAGGAAAAAATAGCACTTTTACGTTTGTAAAAAAACCATCTTTCAAATTAAAAGAACAGCAACAAGTTTAGAGAAAATTGAACTACAATCTTTATTGATGCCAACTGCTATGTTGTAAAAAATATTTCAACTTTCTTGCAAAAAAAAAAAAAAAAAAAAAAAAAAAAAAAA